GGGGCAGGTGCTGCCGCAGCTCTGGCCAGTGGCTGTGAGCAGCCCTGGGGTTTCGCTGGCGAGGGGCAGGTTCTCAGTATCAATTCCTTCACCCGAGGGACAGCCCGGGAAATGTGACTGGGTGCAAGGCGAGGGGGTGCACTCAGATCCCTGGGGCCAGCTCTGTCTGATCCCTTTCGGAGAAGGGGCCCCAGTAGCCAAAATAAAGTTAGGATGGGGCTGCAGTAGCAGCAAGGGACAGGGATGCAATCTGCTCTGCTGCATACTTGACCAAGGCAGCACAAATTCCTCGCTGTGATTCGGTTGGAGATTTTTGGTTTTTTAAATAGGCAGCGTATTACTGTTTTGACTTAAGGACTTTATGGAGAGCTTCTTGCATTCCTTTGCTTTAAGATCGGAAATATCCCCATTTAATGTGAAATAGCTCGAGGCTCGGTTCAGCTGCATTTCCCAGCGTTGAGTGACTCCCGAGCAAAGGCTTGCATCCTGCAAGGAATTAGACATGGGCTTGGCTTCACGCATTGGAGAAACCCTGCTGAGGGGCTTTCGCGAGCGAGCCCCGGTGCGTGTCGCTCGCAGGGAACGCAGGCGTGAGGTGCAGCACGCAGTGACGTACGTGGGCTAACTCCGGCGCTGTGTCTTCCCCCTCAAGGCATCGACCAGGGCCAGATGACGTATGATGGCCAGCACTGGCACGCCACCGAGACCTGCTTCTGCTGCGCGCAGTGCAAGAAGTCCCTGCTGGGACGGCCCTTCCTGCCCAAGCAGGGGCAGATCTTCTGCTCCAGGGCCTGCAGCGTCGGTGATGACCCCAACGGCTCCGACTCCTCCGACTCGGCTTTCCAGAGCGCGCGAGCCAAGGAGTCCCGCCGCAGCGCCAAGATCGGCAAAAACAAGGGGAAGGGCGAGGAGGGGGCACGCAGCCCCTGCAACCAGCTGCAGGTCACCTCCAACCGCCTCTCCACCGACGTGGACCCGCTCTCGCTGCAGATGGATTTGCTGAGCCTGGCCAGCCAGACGCCGAGCCTCAACAGGGAGCACGTGTGGAGGAGCCGGGACGAGCTCTACCACTACGGGAGCAAAATGGAGCAAAGTCAGTCGCAAAGCCCCCTGCAGCTTCTCAGCCAGTGCAACATCAGGACCTCCTATAACCCCGGTCAGGTCCCGGGCTCGCAGCCGGATTTGTGGGCGAAACATTTCAGCAACCCGAAGAGGAGCTCCTCGCTGGCGATGAAGAGCCACGGTGGCAGCTTCGTCCAGGACTGCAGAGAGGACTACTACTCGGGGAGGCTTCGCTCGCAGGAGAGCTACAGCGACATGTCCAACCAGAGCTTCCCCGAGACCAGAGGCAGTCTCAAGGTCCCCAAGTACGAAGAGGAGGAGGAAGGTGGGATGCCGACGCCGCAGTGCCGCACCCGGCACCCCATCAACACCCTCAAGTTCACGGAGGACCTGACGCCCACCGAGCAGACTCCCCGTGGCTCTATGGAGTCCCTCGCGCTCTCCAACGCAACAGGTACGTCCCCCCCCATGCTGGTGACCCTGCAGCCACCCCAGGACCTGCTCCCTGCCGTGGGGTCCCTTGTCCTCCGGGTCAGTGCCACGGCGGGGGGCCCCCTCTCA